GCTAAAAAAATGTCACGCGGTCTGAAACGCTCACTGGGACAAAGTGCGTTCATACCAGGTGGTTCATTCGAAATCTATCTCCGAAATACGGAACCCCTAAAGTTCCGGCGCCAACAGTACGTTGTGTCTATGATATCTAAGAATCAAATCATCTAATTAAGAAATTCAAACGGTGGTTATCACGAGCTACTTCACCCAGGCACTGATGCCACATATATGACATGCTTGACGGTGTTACATGCAGTGCAGATTACCTTAGAAATCATCAAAATCCTCAGTGACCCCAGGTCAACGGAAACCAGTATTTTCAAACCAATATCAGAGCAAGTATGCCAGCAATATTGGCCATAGATCTACGTAACTATGTGAAACGAACGAATCACGCCATAAAACTAGAATTTTGAGGTCATGTCAGTTCAGGCTGTCATGTCAGTTCAGGCTAAGGTCATGTCAGTTCAGGCTAAGGTCATATTAGCTCAGGCTAAGGTCATGTTAGGTCAGGTGAGTTCATCCGATACGATTGGTCCGCTTTTCCGATGGATTTGGAGGATTATGTTTGATATATTTGTTGCTTCTATTTTTCCGCCTTATTTATCTCAAAACGGGAGTACCAAACGTTTTATCTCAACACGAATTTCGCCCCATGTGACGCCTAATGGTAACCTAAGGTAGGGAGTCTCGTGTAGCGTGAACGGCCCTGGCTGGAGGGCAAGACAAAATATGGTCGAGAATCATCTGTTTGTCACGGCGGTACAAGCTGCAACATTTCGTTTCATCCCAATATTACCACGGTCAGCAAAGCGAGAAAAAATATGGGTTATCAAAACCTTTTCTATCTTATGTCATGGACAGCCTAAGCCATCCGTTTATAAATCATTTCGATGTGTGAAATGATTTATGATGTAGACAGTGGAATGAATTTCCCAGGTTCAACTAAATGTGGACTCAAGTTTGTCATGACATTGTCTGCCGAGCGTGACGTTCTGTTAGGGCTCCCTGTTTTCGCTGTTAGAATTTCAGATACATTTGAATGTTTTCAGGTGCACGGGCTCCTCCGTTCACGGGCTCCGCCGTGACCGGCTCTGTCGTGCCTACAGATCCGGCGCGGTGTCGTCAGTAACAGCACCACGTCACCAGCTCCGACGTAGTTTGACCGTCTTCGGCGCATTATCGTCACCTTCGTGGTACCACGATTAAGGGCTGCGTAAATCCTGCCAAATCATGAGCTGACAAATCTTAGAATTATTGCGGTCTGCAATTCCAAAGTCTGGTTCGGGCAGACCGCATGCACAGCGGGACGAGTTGTAGCAGGTGCTGCCTCTCTCGGAAACTAACTGATCTTACACTGGGGTGGACCGCTGGGTATCCAGCGTTGATGCTCTCCAAGTCATTGTGACGGCACTGGCTCCGATGCTGTGCATCAAAACCGTCGAAGAGCATCACCTGTGCTATGGAAGCACCTATCTGTCTCCGGTGCGATGCTGGGAGCTTTGGCATGGCATAGCGACCTCCTCCGCCAGGTCAAGTTTGTTGGCATGCTTCGTGTTCAGAAAAATGTGGTGGACTGTGTACAATTAGCTCAGAGATACAACTCGTGTGTGGTCGTTAAAATGCACGTTGTTGCCGGCACGGGCCATGCGACATTTTATGTGAACCATTGGAATGTTTTTAGGAAGGGTCTAGAGGAAGAAGAAAAGCTTTGGAGAATAATGTTGTGGTACAGAGGTAAGTACAGGAGGTCTCGGTAAGTTGAAAAGGGGAGAACACAGCGCAATAAAGACTGCTGATGAAAATCCTCAAAAGTTTACCGGAATTTACCTAATTGTTTTCATCTTATATTCCGGTTTTGCCGGCGCTCACGCTTTTAGAGGACATCGATGACTTTTACAAACTTAATGGGGGGTCACTGACCCCCAAAGGTTTTTCCGGAATGGTTTCCAATCGGCACAGCGTAGCCTCGCCAACATTGGCATAGCTGTAGACAATCGAATAGCAGAAATTGAAGTAATTTTCCTTTATCATGCTTGGTCTCCAAAGTATACCAAAAGAAAGCTGCAAGGAAAATATGAATACAAAAGAGACCCAATGAAGACAACTGAATCAGACGCTTGAGCCCAGCGGGCTATGCGTCCTAATCCAAGACAGGAAAGTGTGCACATCCTTTACGAGGAAAACATGAGAGGTGAACACGTTAAGTATGCCTAATATCGAATTAAGCAATTGCATCGCTTGCGTAGCTTGGCCGATACCGCATTGCGCAAAAGACACTAGCTATAAAGGATACATTTTAACGGCGGGAGACAAGTATTCATATATTTAAATCGTTGGCGCGCAATCGTCAACTTTGTTCGAGGCAATCAGGCATCTTAGGACGTCACATAAGCAGCGTTTTTCATGTGAAGTACATCTAGAAATGATGCTTTAGTAATTACCTTGAACCCCTTGACCTAATACTTGGTGCTGGTCATCTATGACTTTAAATTTAATCGTGTGTTTCGACCAGCTCTCCGCACGTCCTGGATATGGGGTGTTTCTATAATGCCATATTGAATAATATTCACTTCATTCAATTACATTCACTAGTGACCACGAAAATTTTCCGAAGTTAACTTACTATTGCTGAAAACAATCCCATAGTAACCACTACGATAGTACATGATGCTGGAAACCATTATTAGCCGAACTGAGTTGTTATTTGAACTAATTTAAACTGATCAACCCAAACTTATTATGTCTGCATGATGCTGACAATCGAGCAGTTAAGATCGGCGTCCAGAATTGCTCACTGCTGGTGTCGATTTCGACAATTATATTTTCGGGCATAGCGCGGCTATAATTCCGATTCATATTTCGCCTGCTTTCAATGTTTTTAGCAGCCCAAAATGCAGGCAGACCTTACCAGGCTCAACTTTGACAGTCAGCGACCATTGTTCGGCGCGGCAGTTCCAATCGGCTCCATTGCGTCGTGGAGCGGACATGGATTTGTTACTAAGCTAGCAATCCGGCCGGCGAACCCCACGCGCGTGGTCTCCGTAATGGTATCAGCTGTAGGCGCGCGGCTGACACTGGGCGGGGCAACGCTGCCTGCCAATAGCGGCAATTATTCATACTACGGCAGCCGCTCTAGGAACTAGTTTGGAACATTTGGTCTGGACATTCTGTGCCTTGGACAATATGTGCATGGGACATTCTGTACTTTGGACATTCTGGACATTGGGCATTGTGATATGGGCTCATTCCACTATGCACCCTGTTGGAAGTTACTTCCCATTTTGGGCATGGTGTGCGTTGGGCATTATGAACTTTGGATATTCTGTACCTTGGACATTCTGTACTTTGGACATTCTGTACCTTTGGACATTTCGTACCTTGGACACTATGGTACGGACCCCGCCATGCTGACTGGCTGACAAAAAATCTTGGCGTCATCGTCAGCCGGAGCGTGACGTAACAGGCCATGTGACTTTGTGGTGACGTGACATGCGTAGGACGAATACTGGGCCGTGATTGGTGCTGACGACAGACAGAACGCGGCATTAGTAAGGGTTCGAACTGAATATCCTCGAGGACGTGTTGACCTCTCTAAAGTAAGGCCTCGATTACTGCCATAGGTACTGTTACAGTTATCTCCACGTCTCGTCTAATACAGGTCAAAAGGATATTGTCCTAGACAATATATCAAGTGAAGCGATCTACCAAAGTATAGGGTAAAACGTATAGGCACTCCCTAAGTGTAGCTGCTAAACTTAACTGATAAAAAGCTGCGCCAGTCGAATCATGCGCGTCGCAACAGCAATCGGCAGGTCCAGCCCAGCCCATCCACAAACATCTGTTATTCTGAAAGCGTGTTTTACAAACATCCAAGTATTTGAATACTTGACGGATGCTGACAATATGTATTTTCGCGCATCCATCGCCCGATCGATTTAAAAGGAGCATCACCCGCCTGGAACTGTGAAGTTTACTGAATGAGTTAAGTGTATGGAAAATATGCATAACAGTGGTATTCAACAAACACAGCACACCAAGCCTGACTTGGGAGAAGGGAGCCGATCATGCTTCTCGGCTCTCATTTGGTGGTGGGTTGGGTACATCTGAACTGACATGATGTGGGTGGAACGAAGCTGATCCACACCGATTTCACTATGTATCTGCCGTCCAGTGTTGATGATACAACTGCACACAGCCTGGCCTGAGTTGGGAAGAGAGGATTGGACGCTGGCCCAGTTTCCCATGTTTCTACCCTCCTGTGGTGGTGATGAGAGTTCACCTGTTCTGACCTCGCCGGAGAGGAACCGGACGGGAACGAGCCCCTTATGCTCTGTGGTGATCACGTCAGTATGCATCATTTGACCCGGCAGGCAAGCAGCCGACCTGGCCGCAACCCGTCTTCGGCTTTATCACTGCCCTCCTGCAGTACTCCCGTGGGTCGCCTGACTGAATTGAGAGGAACGGAGCTGATCGGGACAGGCCCAGTCTGTCCTCTCTCCGTTCTCATGGGAAAACTGTGCCGTCATGGAGGCCATGACCACGTGAGCAATCTAAGGGTGGCCAGAGGGCGGTTGCCGTCAGTTAATGATAGGCGGTGAAGGAGGAGAAAGGTGTTAAGGCAATTTAATGCACGCAGCGATGTGAGTAAACTGTTGAACGTAAGCGTTCCGTGAAATGGCTCTTGTCTTAAATGCTTTGGAATGGATGGAACGTACGACTTTGGATCAAACCACGCAATGAGCAGGGAGCTTGTCTTTATTCCGGAGCCGCCAGACTTCCGACTTCCTCTCCAGACCCGGCTGCGGAGGGTCCCACGTACCGTTCAGCACCGCACTACGGACATCCGAGGTCACGTTGGCCCTCTGGCCAGTTAACCGACGCATGTCTGCTCCGGTGGTGTAGTCTCTGCTGGCGCTGAAAACTCAGCGGCCGTGTGAACGACAGTCAGGATCAAGCCGTGTGCTTCGTGGACCAAATGAAGACAAACAAGCCAAAGATATCAGCGTCCCTTTATTCTATATTCGAAAGTCACAATAGCTTCCAGAGCACAAGAAGGCCGGCCACCGAACACATCACGAGTCGCACGACACCAGGTCCGGAAATGTCATGGCACTCATCGCCGAACACATCACGAATCGCACGACACCATGTCCGGAAACGTCATGACACTCACCGGTCTTGGCGATCACAATGCCGCCACCATACGCAAGAGGTCCGTGCTATGACAGGGCTCCTCCGGTGTAACAATTGAGCGCCACTTACCGCGTGTGGCGTCGATGTACGCACCAAACCGGCTATCACTTTCAGAGCACGGCTCAAGGCGGCCAATGACTGCACCACTGTGAAATGGATGTGGTCTGCCATATCACACCGAACATCCTCGCATTTGTTCAATAAATATAGTATTCATTCGGACAACAAATAACTGATCTTTCTTTCTTTCCCCGTAGACATTTTTCAATTAGGACATTTCCGGAGGCAAACCTTAGCAGCGGGCAGAAGAACAGAACGGAGCATGCGCCAGCTAAGACACGCAACCACTACTTACGGATGTGCTGTACATACCCTGACATGATAGCTATGTGAGCACACTGCGCACACCTGTTCCGAACGCCCCACAAACGGGGTGCGGTGTGACGTAGTGTCTGTACGTCCCCAAGGGAAGCGCGTCTCCCGCGCAGCTACCAGTGGTCACCTTCACACCAGGGATCTGCATCAGCGCTTACGGGGGCCAACGGAAAGCGCGTCTCCCGCGCAGCTACCAGTGGTCCCCTTCACACCAGGGATCTGCATCAGCGCTTACGGGGGCCAACACAACAGTAAAGAACGGCTTGAGAAGATTGTGTGCGACGCGACTGTGGCAGAAAGCCTCTGGCTGTAGGACGGATGGACACTAATAACTAGGCGGAGGACTTCACAGCCTAAAACATGTTCTAGGGCAACGCTCTGAAGGCGTCCATATCACTATATGGAGAGGACTCACAATCCTTCTAATACCCGGCTACAGAACCATTACATGGCGCATAACTCATCAGTGCAAATGGATGAATGAATGAGCCAATTAATAAATTTTTTAGTAAATGAGAGTCGAAAAACCCATCATGGCGCAGACTAACCAAAAAGTAACGTATTGAACAACATTTTTTCCATCTTAGCTTCCTCCAAAAAAGAAGAAATGAACAGTATTGTCCCGAGCTGGGGCAGGGGGTGGCGGGGGGGGGGGGGGAGGACGTATACCCGGTGCATTCCCTACAAAAAGCCATTGCATGTACACCCACACCTACGTAAGCTTACCGTGTGACAACTAGCGCCTCGTCTTTGCGAAGCTTGTCAAAAATAAACACTACAATATGATGCTTGTATTATGACTGCTTTGCTTGGTGTTTGAGCCCAAAGGAGTCAGGTCGACGATCATACCCGGGCCATTGAATTTCGTGTCGAGTCAGAACAAGAAAAGACCCGAATTGTCCTACCAGAGCCGTTAAATAACAATTATTTTGGCTATGGGGATGGCGACCAGGACCAAAACTGCTCGCCCTATCCCGTAGCTGACCGGCCGTGACGCAGTGGGACCAGCCCGGAGGAACGTCCAGGGCTCGTGTAGTGTTGGGGCATAAAGCCCCGGTACCATGTGCCTCGCGTCACATGCTTTGGAGTCTATCATTCCGCCCACAGAATCCCAGTCCTCGAGTCCAGGCGATTTTCCACTTCATAAACAACGGGCTTTGGGCAACCGAAGCGCTCCGTGCCCCGAGCCGGCAGCCCTACGAGGCCTGCCGTCTCTGTGCGCGCGCCTGCCCGGCAGCTCTGGAGAGCTCTCAGCTCTGGATGGTCTGCCGCTGCACCAGCCGCCGGAAGACGCCGTCACTCTCAGCTCTGGATGGTCTGCCGCTCCACCAGCCGCCGGAAGCCGCCGTCACTCCTGACCAGCAGCTCTGGAGAGCTCTCAGCTCTGGATGGTCTGCCGCTCCACCAGCCGCCGGAAGACGCCGTCACTCTCAGCTCTGGATGGTCTGCCGCTCCACCAGCCGCCGGAACACGCCGTCACTCCTGACCAGCAGCTCTGGAGAGCTCTCAGCTCTGGATGGTCTGCCGCTCCACCAGCCGCCGGAAGACGCCGTCACTCCTGGCCATGAGCTCGTCGTAGGAGCCCTGCTCCACCACGGCGCCGCCGCTCAGCACGGCGATCGCGTCTGCCGAGGCGAGCATGCGGCCACGGTCAGGGCACGGCAGCCGGCGTACGTGTGACCGCCGGCGCAGGCGGCCCCATCACGTTTGTGGAATGAACAATCGTCGGCGAAACACACCGTGCGCCGCCATGGACTGCTTCTTCTCATTGGCCTTGTACAATCAGGTGCCTTCGATTTCGAGATTGAACAGAGGTCTAGGGAAAACTCTGAGTAAGGGGATCAGCCTGCTCTCCTCACCATATCACCAGTCTCATTTCACAGCCAACAACGCGTCCCGGAACTAGCAGATACAACGCTGACGTTCCGCGGAAAAACCTCCTTCCACACTGAGCCGAGTCATTTCCTTGGAAAGAGGTAACACAAGTGACTGAGCTTAAAAAGCCTAAGGCGGATGCCTGCGCCAGCGCTCGCCTGAGCCGCAGGGGAGGGGGGGGGGGGGCGGGCACGTTGCTTGTTGGAAACGGTGTTTTCGTCAGGATAAAATTCACGGACGTCTATGAGGTCGTCCTGGTGTGGAGCGCACATCCGGTGTCATAAATAACTGAGGCGTTGGAGCGACGACCCAAAACACACGCATATTAGTAACGCCCTCGCACTGATCAGCAAATACAGAGGTGATATGCGTTTAGGTCATGCACGAGCGGGCCGTTGCTGCCGGCAGGCGCTACACGTACCGGCGCGCCGCACGGTGCTGAGCCGGTGGGCGATAGTGATGACGGTGCGGCCCCGCATCAGCCGCTGCAGCGCCTCCTGCACCAGGCTCTCGCTCTCGGAGTCCAGCGCGCTGGTGGCCTCGTCAAGGATGAGCAGCCGCGGGCTCTGGCGGCGCCGGCCAACCGTCAGCGCCTCCCGCACGGCCCGCCCCCGGCAGCACGCGCTCCACAGTCACCGCCAACACTGCTCAACTACTCATTGTAGAAAGCGATGCCGTGTTAAGAAAACAGTTAATAATAACAACACACGCCCATTTCACTGGCATGCTATTTCCATTTATTTCGAACAAAAATCATTCCATTACTATCCATTTCGCTGGTCGATTACCTTCATTTCATCATATTCCCTCATAACGCAGATGTTGTAAAAGCAGACTAGCGCCTTTTGTCCCCCGCATACCCTTGGCTGTTTTGAGTGAAGCTGGCAGCACTTCTTTGGAAGTTCCAGAAGTCTTATTTAGGTGCAAAAAATGACATAAGACGCGTTTTTTTCTAACAGAAAAGACGGCGGGCCGGACACTTCTGCTTACCTTCAGTATGGCGCGGGCTATAGCGATCCTCTGCTTCTGACCTCCGGACAGCATCACGCCCCTCTCACCGACCAGCGTGTCCATACCGTCCTGGAGCCTGAAGACGGAAGCTATGTGCATATGCTACAAAGTGATTTTCGTTAATTTCGAATGCCCAAAAAACATACCAAGAAACTTTAAATCAAGTCGCGTACCACATTCCCCGCCCCCGCCCCCCCCAAATATGCACGTTACAACAGAAGCTCAAATGGTATGGCAGTGATTTAAGTTTTCATGTGGATGTCATCGTGTGCCCCAAAACTGTCAAATATTATGCCAGAGATGAAATATACCCAAAACTGCCGAACAAAACGATAATTCACAATCCAGTTGAGGGTCCAAGATCCAAAAAGCACGCTGAGACTACGCAGATAACGAGCAAAACCGCGTAACTAAGCGCCAACCCCTAATCCAAGCTGCTAGTAGACCAAATCTCACACCGTTTGACTGTGTCCAAAGGCGGGGAAATCCCAACCAGTCTTCAATGTCCAGATATGCGAGGTCAGGCAGTCTCCAGTGTCCAGCCGTGCGCGGTCAGGCAGTCTCCAGTGTCCAGCCAAGCGCGATCAGGCAGTCTCCAGTGTCCAGCCGTGCGCGGTCAGGCAGTCTCTAGTGTCCAGCCGAGCGCGGTCAGGCAGTCTCCAGTGTCCAGCCGAGCGAAGTCAGGCGGTCTCTAATGTCCAGCCGAGCGCGATCAGGCAGTCTCCAGTGTCCAGCCGTGCGAGGTCAGGCGGTCTCTAGTGTCCAGCCGAGCGCGATCAGGCAGTCTCCAGTGTCCAGCCGTGCGCGGTCAGGCAGTCTCTAGTGTCCAGCCGAGCGCGGTCAGGCAGTCTCCAGTGTCCAGCCGTGCGCGGTCAGGCAGTCTCTAGTGTCCAGCCGAGCGCGGTCAGGCAGTCTCCAGTGTCCAGCCGTGCGAGGTCAGGCAGTCTCTCGTGTCCAGCCGAGCGCGGTCAGGCAGTCTCCAGTGTCCAGCCGTGCGAGGTCAGGCAGTCTCCAGTGTACAGCTGTGCGCAGTCAGGCAGTCTCCAGCCGTGCGCGGTCAGGGAGTCTCCAGTCTCCAGCCATGCGCGTTCAGGCAGTCTCTAGTGTCCAGCCGTGCGAGGTCAGGCAGTCTTCAGTGTCCAGCCGTGCGAGGTCAGGCAGTCTCCAGTGTACAGCTGTGCGCAGTCAGGCAGTGTCCAGCCGTGCGCGATCAAGCAGCCTCCAGTCTCCAGTCGTGTGCGGTCAGGCAGTCTCCAGTGTCCAGCCGTGCACGGTCAGGCCGTCCCGCACGGCCAGATCCGCGGCGCACTAACAGCCGGCCAGCAGACGATCCCGGCCGCCGTCCCACGCCCGCCCGTCCACCCGCACGTGCGCGCACCCTCTCACCTATCGACAAACTCTGCGGCGTTGGCCTGTTCGACGGCGTCGCGCAGCTGCTGCTCAGTGACCGTGCTGGCCACGCTGGCGCCGTACAGAATGTTCTCGCGGATCGAGGTGGAGAACAGCACGGGCTCCTGCCGACGGGGGGAGGGGGGGATGCGTCACGACGCGTCCGCGTCAGTGAGCGGCCGCACCCACGCCGCTGGGGAGAGACGCGACAGGCATGGGCGCAGCGCCCTGTGGCACACCGGCGCCGGCAACAGACGGAGCGCGACCGTGACCGACCACTGAGCCGACCAGTGATGCGTGACACCGCCCGGCCTGACCTGGCTGACGACGCCGATCTGGTCCCGCAGCCACATGGGGTCCAGCTCGCGGACGTCGTTGCCGTCCAGTGTGACGCGGCCCTCCAGCGGGTCGTACAGCCGCAGCAGCAGCCAGGCCACCGTGGACTTGCCAGAGCCGCTCGACCCGACCACTGCCAGCACCGAGCCTGTTGCCCGGGGGGGGGGGGGGGGGAGGAACCGGCCGTCAGCACGGGGAGAGCACCAGCCATCAGCACGGGGAGAGGGACCGGTCATCAGCACGGGTAGAGGACCGGCCGTCAGCACGGGGAGGGACCAGCCGGCACCCACAGCGAAAACGAGGAAAACTCGTTGTGAAACACAACGCCAGCGTGTGTGTGACGTGTGCAGCGCCTCACGCGGAGATAGTAACTACGACACAGACATCGCTGTACGTCATCTGGGTGGTGCTCCGAATACTTTCGCCCACACACAATGGTCTCGCCGCTTCGGCGGATCACAGCACGCCAAACGCCGCTGCTGTGAGCATGCAGGCGATCCTCGCATGACGCTACCGGCAGCTCTGGGCCGACACACACCCTGCCTGCCGGGGTACACGGCGCGTGGTCTGACCTTCCGTGACGCTGAGGCTGAGGCCGCGGAACACCAGGTCATCGGGCCGACTGGGGTAGGCGAACGTGACGTCCTGCAGCCGCAGGTCGCCGCGGAGGGCGGCCGGCCGCGCGCCGCCCGAGTATGGTAGCTGCGGCTGCCGGTCCACCAGCTGCCAGAGCCGCGTGCTGGCGCCCAGGCCGCGCTGCAGCTCCGAGTAAAACGAGCTGAGGCCGCCTGCAGCCCCACCAACCACACCGGTTACAATAGCCGAACGGCACGGCGCTGGAGTGGGGAGGGACGCGAGGGCACTGGCACAGGTGCACACGGCCCGAAGCCCACCGCGCTGGAGAAGGGTGGGACGTAGGGGGCGCTGCCAGAGGTACACACGGCAGGCAACGCGCCCAGGCAGAAACGCCAGTGCATAGTCGCACAGGTACACGCTACACAGGTACTGGCAGAGTGGTGTCCGAACAAGTAACCGTGCCATGGTACACACGTACATACAGCTGCTGCGGCAATAGCCCGGGCGTCAACTCTGAAACTGTAGCTTTCACAGAAACAAAACTCTAGCTTGGACAGAACAAATGGTTGCAAACATCGTCTTTTAGTCTCGGTCTGCACGTGCGCAAGAGATTTTATTTTTGACCCGAGCCAACGAGATATTCGAGCATAGAGACAGCAGCAGCTTTGCGATATTCCGCTCCGCGGCGTCCGTTAAACCCGTCCACACGGTTCCGCTCCCCCCCCCCCCCCCCCATTGTGCGGGGGGTAGTCCCTCACCGACGGCCACGCCCACGTAGGCGGCGTACAGCAGGAAGGCGGAGAGGTCACCGACCGTGACCTGGCCGGCGCCCACCAGCGAGCCGCCGTAGTAGAGCACGGCCAGGATCACGCTGTTGCCGCTGAGCCCCGTCTGCCGGCGCGGGCGGAGACGTCACGGGAAGGTGGGGCACGTGTCGTCCGGCTACCCGGCAGGACGGCGACGCGTGAGGTACAACGTCGAGTTTATGCGAGACGCGTGTGAGCGGGCTGAGGACGCTGCTCAAGCTGGGTTATATGACGTTACTCTTTACTGACAATGAGGAAGCTCCAGTTCAACACAACGTGCCTCGTAAATGAGCATCCTATCTATATGCGCAGGATTGCATCAAGGGTCCTCTGCAAGCTCGTGACGCAACATGGAATAATCAATACGCAGAATGATCCCGATTAGACAATGGTAATACCGCGCCGACACGCCTACACCTCTCAATCAAAATTCATTGAAACGTAAATACAGAAAACAAATATTTGCATACAATGAACCACAATAAACGTATTAAGCGCTGGGATATGTGCCGTGATAACTCAATGAACACACCGAATCGACAGCAGCCAGCAGTCGCCTCACCATTCCAAAGAAGCCGGCCCGTGCCAACGTCTCGCGCTGACACAAGGCCAGCACGTCACGCGTGCTGCGAGCGTACCCCTCGGCCTCGTGGTCCTCGCGCGCGAACACGCGCACTGTGCGAATATTGGCCAGCTTCTCTTCAGCCACGGCGTTGGCATCAGCTAGGCCGTCCTGCCGTGCGGATCAAAGCGGAGGTAGTTGGGGACGATCGGCGCACGCGCAGAGGTCATAGCTTGGTGGTGCGGTTCAAAGCGGCGGTGGAGGGGGACGCCCGGCGCGCGCGCAGAGGTCACATATTTGTCATGGTTTGCCAGACGTGAATAAACCGGCAGTAACACGATATTGAATGACGTGCTGAGAGTAGTGAAAGAGTGTGTGATTTTACTGGTGCCTGTGAACACTCTCCAACTTATACTGTTGGTTTGGTTGGGCGAAAAGCGATGTTCTGACAACACACAGCGCGTGACGAACATTTCACGAGCCTGACGACAACAGTGAGCTGATCACACAGTTCTCTGAATACACAGCACTGCTATCCCGAGAGATCATAGAGAAGTAATACTAAAAAGGTTTGCAAACCGCTGAGACCAACAGCACTGAGCGAGCGCCAGTGGCTACCGGCGGGCCGGAAGGGCAGGTGTCCGGGGAGGAGGGCAGCTCACCTGGACGGCTCTCGTGATCCTGCGCACGTATCGGCCATAAACGACAGCCACCATGGCCACCGGCGGCACGATACTCAGTCCCACCAGCGCCAGCTTCGTCGACACGTAAAACTGACAACAGAGAGGGCATGGCATCCATGAAGTTAGGACAAGTCCGCGATGGGAACCGAGCGCGGCGGATGCTACCGAAAATAAAGTACGATTTGTTATGCGCTCAGTGGTTTACACGGACATAAACCGGACATCTTTTAGCCCGTTGACCCATTATCGAGTGGTAGCATCAAATACCTGGCCACACCAGAATGGTCCAATATAGCCTTCAGACTCGTACCTCTCTGAAAGGAATGAGCAAATTGCGGTCGGTAAAAATGCTAGTGGTGCTATTTTCTTCGTTACCTTTGTTATCTTCGTGAATCGCATGGTATTCAAAACTTTTCTGTGCCTACATCATAAGCGGGGCGATCGCGTGCTACTATTACAAGTATGCTCAGAATCAACTTTCAAGCGTGAAAACTTGACAACCTCGGCATCTGGTAGACCAAGAATATCCCCTCTCCTTCGCCTAAACTCAAACGGAAAATTAAGTCACCAGACAGAGCGACTACGAAGCAAAGATGACCTCCGCCAGTCGACTGCTCCTCCTGAACGCCGTCCAGACATCCGCGGCGAGCGCCTCACCATCATGGAGACGCTGGCGGAGGCCATGGCGGTGGCGCGCAGGCCGTCCGAGATGTTCATGGTGACCGACTGACTGACGAGCGCCGTGTCGGCCGACAGCCGGTTCACCAGCTCGCCCGTCCGGCTGCGGTCGAAGAAGGCCACCTCCTGGCGCAGCAGGGCGCCCGAACACGGAGACGCGCAGCTGCTGCGCGATCCGGGCGCCTGTCGACGCCACGCCGCGTCAGCGGGGCGCCGCAGAGCCGGGCCGCGGCCGGGCGACGACGGGCCGCGCCGCTGAGCAGGCCAGGGTCGGCGCGGAGCCGTGACCGGCCCGATCAGCTCCGTGCAGCCACGGGGCCGATCGCCGCTGTCTAAACGGCGGGACCGAAAACAATAAGGCACGGGTGCCTGCAGCGCAACCCGGGCCTGGCCGCCGCAGGGCGAACGTGAGTCGGACTTCTGCAGAGTGGTTCCCAGGCGAACGTGAGTCGGACTTCTGCAAAGTGGTCCCTAGGCGAACGTGAGTCGGACTTCTGCAGAGTGGTCCCGGGGAATTGGTTATGAGTCACAGCTTAAACTCCCGTGTTGTTGTCTTTTGGACGCTGATGGAAGTTCACGCAGTGCGCGCAATACTTCATGAACATCGTGTTCGTGCAGGGAGGGATGAACTTTGAATGACGACCATTAGATCTTATCTAAAAATACCGCGGGCCAATGTCGGACTTACCTCGCAGTTGATCAAAACAACGAAATGGCTTTCAATATCAATACCGGGGAAAGCCCAAGCATCCTGCCCTGAAAACACCAAGTCTCCCTAAGTCAGACACAAAATCATGGCTAAACAAACTACATTCCTTCAGCAAAAAGAAGAAGAAGATAAAACGAGCCACTAATCCTCCCGTCACACCCGGCTATCGGGTTACTCTGGCGGGGGCCGCGCGTTCGCTGCTGCCGCCGCCGCCCACCTGAGATGCCCATGAGGTAGACTCGGCCGCAGTTGGCGGCGGCGCCGACGATGAAGACGCCACCCAGCGCCAGGCAGATGGTGATGAGCCGCTGCCGGGCAGTGTCTGCCTCCTCCTGGTAGATGATGTCCACCACGCGGCCGATGGCAAACGGCACCGTCATGGTCACGGCGCTGGAGACCAGCAGCAGGCCCACGGCACCTGTCGCGGACAGACGGTCACGGTGGACGCCTTCTGTCGGTGCGAATGACGAACGACAGCTAGCGTTGGAGCGCAGCACGTCGGCCGCGATCAAATGCGCGAAACGTATTACCGTTAAGCAATTCCATTACGACCCAAATAGTATTTCTACGAACAACCGCTCGGCCATTTCGTACCAGAGCACAGTACAAAAGGCAGACAATGTCTGCCTTCTCAGAGCACCGTCTCAAAGAGGAATACGCCGTCCCAGAGGGGAGCATGTCATCCGAGAGGGGCACACCATCAGAGAGGAGCATACCATCCCAAAAAAGAGCACACTGTATCAAAAAGGAGCGCACCGTCCCGTTCCTCAGATTCGTCAGCCGCCCGCCAGAAAGAACCGCTCCTCAGACCCGTCCTCCAAGCCCGTCAGCCACCCGCCAGAGAGGAGCACAGTGTCCCGTCCCTCAAAGCCGCCCTTCAGACCCGTCAATCACCCGCCAGAAGGAGGGGGCACACCGTCTCGTCCATCACAGCCGTCCTTCAGTCCAGTCAGTCACTCGCCAGAGAGGAGCACACTGTCCCATCCCTCCGACTCGTCCCTCACACTCGTCAGTCCCCCGCCAGAGAGGAGCACATTGTCCCGTCCCTCAGACCCGTCCCCAAGACCCGTGCGCTGCCCATCAGAGAGGAGCACGCCGTCCCGTCCCTCAGTCCCGTCAGTCACCCGCCAGAGAGGAGCACACCGTCCTACCCCTCAGACTCGTCAGCCATCCAACCGCGGGTACCCGCCACCGCGGCCTACGCCTACCTCCGATCCTCCAGCGTTCCGGCCGAGCCAGCGCCATGAGCCGCCGCATCTCTTGCGGCGCGAACCGCGACGCGCCGAGCTTGCCACTGCGCAGGCGCGGCGGGCGCCGTGAAGAGCCAGCGCCGAAGCGGACCGGTGCCGGGCGCCACGCGAGCCGTTAGCGGCGACAGCCGCACCGCAGCCACTCCCAGCAGGCGAGCCAGCGCCATTGGCCTGTCTGGGGAGCGAGCAGCCCGCTCGCCTGCTGTCGGCGAGAGACGGCCCCATGAGGAAACTCAGCGCCACTTGCATAACGTTATGCACGACATCGTGAATGTTTGGAGTCACGGAGAAGTGGGCGGTTGCTTGGGGCTTTGTCATGGCAGTGGGAAATGGCTGTGTACTGGCAGTGTACTGATGACAATGATCAGTACAGTGTCTGCATCTTAGATCATACACTCCTGAATTACATCCCAAGCCTCTTAACCTTGCTCCTGTGTTGCCCCCATGGACCTGGACCTGTTAATGTTCTTGGAGCCCCCCCCCCCCCCCCACGGACCTGAGATCACAGCATCTGCTTGAAGATCAGCTGACATAGAGCCCAAAACAAACCAGTGTGGTTCCATACAGCAGCAAAAAACAATCTCTAAGCATTTGCTGTTGAAAAGGTGACATCAGAAGCCTTAAATGGGCATAACTACACACAAATTCCAGCTTTTTGAGATAATGACTAGAAATGTTTGAAAAAATAGTGAAAACTTTCCAAAAGCAATGCCTGTTTCAGGTTGAGCAGGTAAATTAATCATTAAAAATCACTTTCATGTAGATTTTATCCAAACATTTTGATATGATGGATTGCTGGGTGGCTACAGTCAAATGACATTGGTATATGCTCAACCCCTTGGATGCACAAGCACTGATTCCCACAACCCAATTATAATATTCTGAGTTGATAACATTATTTTGTGGTGGAATTTTAGTGTTCTGCAATGCTTGGTATAATTTGTAGTATGATTAATAGTAGAAAGGCACACAAAATTGCAACTAATAAATGCCAGCTGGGCACCTTTATTTTTGTCAGAAAATAATCACAGAAAATGCCTGAACCCAGAGGTCATAAGTTAATGTGCATGCCATATAACACCAGCAGCACATAACCAAACACTTATCATGTCTGGGTTACATCTCCAGAGCCTTGCAGTGTAACTACAAACATTGGTTACTTTACACCAGCCATATTGCAATGTTCAGTCACATGGGTCACAGGTATATCAATATTTGTCATACTATTACAACTCCAGGTTAGGTCTCACTGTCTGTTGCCCCTGCCCCTGCCCAAATTCAGTCAATCAGCATCAGACAGATTGGTAGCTGCCCCAGCATCCAACCATCTCAGGCTTGATTAACACACGCTCTGGTGGGGTTGAGTCAAATTGACCCCTCCCAAAGGTATTCCGGAGTGGCTTCCGAACTGTGTGGCTCATCTGTGCCAAATTTTGCAGAGCTGTAGACAATTAAGTGGTCAACCATTTGGCACAAAAAATAAGATACACCTTGTAAGGTTGCCGACTTATGGCAAATCAAAGTCAAGCCACGCTTTCAGCACAGTCATTCCAATGGAATTGTTCAATCTGAGTGAGCAACAACAGAGTGTTATACAAAGGCATAATCTCTGAGATGCTTTCTTAGGCAATGCAAATATTGAATGACCAAACTACATGACCTAAAGTCAGGTATAAAGGCCAGACAAAGGTCAAAACCAACTTCTTTTATTACTCTTGTGCTTGCTGTATGGGAGTTGCTGGTGCTTGTTTCAACTCTATTGATAGCAGGAACTGCATTATACACCTTTTATAGACTTCTTAGAGGTCAGAATAGGTCATTGACCTAAAATGACCAAGGTGAACATTTTGTTTGCAGAAGCATACTGCCTAGCATAATCTTTGTTGTTTATTCAAATGCAAAACTCTGAGCAGTCTTGCATGGTTTTGTCACCATGGCCTTCAAAAGGTCAAAAAAGGTCAGTGACCTTAACTGAGCATGTGAGCTTTTGGTTAAAAACAGATATCTAGGTTCTGAGGGCACTTTGGAGACCAGCCTGGAATTTAACCTTGCTTCCCCCCTTATGTCACCCAAAGATCATGGCCGAGGAACATCAAACTTTGACCTGAGTGAGTTCACATACAGGTCAACACGCCCTGAAAGTTAGGCATCTCTAGCATTTTTAGTTCCTGAGAACTCAGGAGGAGGGGTCAAATTGACCCTTCCCACATGAGTAAAGGGTATCTAGCCAGCTACTCTAGCATGTGTTCATGGGCCAGGCAGGTTAGATGTCTGGATTCAGGGTCAAAGGGTAATGAATCAGCTTCAATGAATTGTGTACAACCTGTGGCAATGGCTCAGAAACCAGAGATGATGATGATGATGTGAGCTTTGGGGTACACTAATTTAAATCACCATATGGTGCCCATAAGACAAGCAGGCTTCTGGAAGCATGAATTTCTTTTTATATCCTAGAAACCCTAGATAATGAATTTTGGAATAATGAGCACCAGTGGAGCTCAATCTGCTTTAGAGCCACTTAGTACATCACAAAAACAAAGTCAAAATAAACAAAATATTCTACAATGGTTCAACTCTACTTAGAGGGGCATATGCCAGAACAAAAGTTACATCAGTTTTAACAAACCTAGCATTCCAATACCAATGGTCAGGTATTTTTACACTAGCTTTAAATGCTGCTGCACCCTGAACCATTTTTCCTATCCCGAATGCAAAGGTGTTAGGTGATTATTATTCTTTAGTCTCCAACTAACATTTGAAACTGCAGTTGATGTCACATACCATGTGGAGAACAATAAAGCTCTTGCTTGGTACGTGCAGGTTCAGAACATGCTCACGCAAATGGAATGAGCCTCATCGCATCATCTCATGAAAATGAGCGTCACTATTGGCTGGGATGCAGGGCCATCTTGAAAAGTGGTTACAAAGTCAGAACATGCATTGTTGCACCCGTGTGGACATGACAGTAGAGACCAGGGCGTTTAGTTGCTACTTCCTTGCTCTCCCTCCCCCCTCCAACGTACCTCTGATCCCAAACACCTACGACTTATGCCTTGCGCCTCCACCAAATCACCCAAGAACACACCTGGGGGATGCTCTAGGTATATCCCCGTGGTTGTTTACTCCCTTTCGTCGCCCGTAGCGCCATGTTAACAGGTTTTGACGCCAATTGAGCATTAAAGTACAGCCGGGATTAGTTAGCAATAGATATTTGCAATTTTTCAAGTCTTATTTCGATGGGTTATTTTGTCTTCCTATAAAACTCTCGATGCTATATTTCATCATATTCACATTTGTGGGTCTGTTTGGTCTCAAATTCAGACGGTGCACCGTGCATGGCTGTACCGTGCTACGGGCTGTTCCACGAGAATATTAGAAACTGTTATCTAGCAAAAGGCGCCGAGGCTGGTAAGAAACCTTGTAATACACTTAAATAATGCAGTAGACTATACTCAAGCACACACACACAATGCCTTTCTATATGTTCAATTGAGCTTACCGCCGCATGAACGCTGGACTTCATAAGGGTGATACGTGTTCTGTTCGTCACAAAATAACGATATGGTTTCATTAAGCCTTGCAAAATAGTTTATGTACAACGTCACAATATTTTACTGCTCCCAAAGACCCGGGAATGAGTTTAAGTTTTGTTATTTGCTGTAGCCAAATTTCGTTCCAAAAAATTAAAGATATGTCGCCCAGCTCTATTTCAATCGATCCAAAGGAGTAGTTATAGCGCTTCTGCGACGATACCCCAAGGCCTTAGTTTGTAAACAATGTGAGGGGGCGGGGTGCGCAAGTTAAAATGATTTCTTTGCACAGATCTCATTTGTGGTGTCTTTAACCAGCAGACATAAGCCACAACCCTTCAACCACAGAGCAAGATGGGCACTCGAGCGGCTGCATGTAAGTGCGCTTTTGTCTCCACACTGTCGCAAGCCGAAACCAAATAATGCATGGGAACATTGAATAATCTTTATTTGACGGGATCGTAAAAGTTCATGCATGCATGGGGCGAAATATTTTCTGCCTTTTCTCCCATCATTGAGTTTTTGGGATTTTTGTCTGCAGTACCATGAACCCTGGGTCCTTTCAGCCTGTTATGCTACTGGCCCACCAAACACTATCTGCAGAATGGCAAGACATGATTTGACACTTCTTACTTGATTTTACAATAATATTGTGAGCTGCACTTTTAAAAAACAGGACTTAAATGCTGATATTATCTGCTTATGTAGTGCCTACAAAATTTATAAGGTTTTCAAATTATTAAACTTTGGCTGCAGTGTGCCAGAGATGTAGACTTAATAGGGGCTTTGCTTAGGAGCTTTTGACATTCCAAGATAATTGCTAGAATTTGTTTTATATCACATTGCCAGAAACATGTGTATCATGGTTGACCTAGCTCCATCACAGGCCAGCAGGAGTTTTTTTGCTTGGGCAGCTTGCTCCCTGTTTGAAAACATGCAATAATGACCAGTACATAATTTCAGTCACTGCGAAGATCAAGAATCTGCAGGACTATTATCTGCGTCTTCTGCATGGAATACCATTACCATCAGAGCTGGATATTGCCTGCACACTGAAATACTTCTCTTTGACACTTATGGGTGAGTAAAGCAGATTTGAGGTGGAAGGATTCTGATTCTATGCCTTAGCTCTGTTGTGCCAAGGTGAGAAATGACAGCCCAGAAAAACACCACAATAGTAGTGCTGTATTAATCTAAAAGAGGACCATGATTATCCTGCACATTAGAGTTGTGGGTCATTCTGTGGGTGAGCGGCCCAGTGAGGGACAGCCCCATCACTGACCTGTCCTCTGAGCAGGCGTGCTAAAGGACGTGCCTGAGGCACCGCTAGTGATGCTGCGCCGGCCTGACCAGGACGCCACACGGCTGGCGCTCTACCCCAGCCTTGACTACACTGGACTGCACCGTGCGCTGGTTCAGCTGTTCGACATCGTCCCACTCCTACAGTACGGCGTGCACGGTCAGTGGCTGGTCCGCCGCTGGTCCGCTGGTCCTCCCGGGCACCAGCGGCGACTGGGGGTTGTGTTGCGGCCGAAGAATGGGTGATGATGTTGGGGAAGTTGCCTGTACCTCGTGGAAAGGCGTGGGTGATGCCGTTCGACCAGTTTCTTCTCCCTGCTGTGATGCAATATCATGTTGTGTCTTATATCCTGTGACCAGGTATGAGGTGTTCTTTTGTAGTAATCTCGATCCTATCCATCATTCTGTCACACTATCATATATGCAACGCCGCCTGGGCTGTACTATGTGCCGGTCGCTACGGCGCACCATGTGTCATGACCTGGTGCCTGCCGCTTACACATCCCTGTTTGGGCGGCCAGGGTTCGGCCAGTCGCTGTTGCACACCATGTCGTGCCTGGTGCCGTTTCTGGAGCACAGCCTGATCGACACGCTGCCCTACCTGGTGGCCTCCAGCCTGGCCACGTTCCCCGTGTCGCTGCACCGGGACATCGTCAACACACTCTGCCATTACCTGCTGCCGTTCACGCTCAGTGAGTCGAATGCAAGTTTCGTGGTGTGGCATCAGATGTCCTGTCAGTTCCAAACCGCGGTACGGTTTAGGAAATCGATATTCAAATGATACTGCCCCGTTACTTTTTCAGCTGTGCATTGCTTTTTGCTTCAGTTGTTTCAAAAAATAATGCCATCAATTTCCCAAGACGTTTTACCACAACGCTGAGTGAACAGGGCACGTTGGTTCCTCTCATGCTCATCAAAACATTACCCCACATTAGCCTCTTATCCCCTATCTCGCTTCATCCCGCATCCTCGTGACACGCCGCTTGTCCGGGGCAGGCTGCATGCGTCAGCCACATTGGGCCAACAGCCCCGCAGGAAGAGGACCCCGACCGGGTACCCAGCGCGCATGCGCGGGATAAAGCTCGTCGGTTGCCCCCCCCCCCCCCCCCGGCGCATGCAAGTCTTCTCCACCGTTAAACCATTTTCCTCTAGCCCACAGCCCTGAAATGATCATTTCTGTTCGAAAGGGCTCTAATAAAGCAATTGCCACACATAACCGACTTGTTTTTATGTGCTGTGCCGTTGTATATATGTAGACACTGGCATCCGTGTGTAAATGGCTTACACGTTTTCAGGCCCTGATGTAGAGAATTATACTTCAAGCTCCATCACGGCCATCGTCATGGTGGTGTTCCAGTATACTGACGTCACAGGTAGGGACTCGTACCCCAAATGTCTTAATTGTTGCCGTCTTTTGTGTGTTGTTGACTGCTTATTGCTTGCGTAAGTGCCTGCTTATTGCTTGCGCCTTTTGTGTGTTGTGACTGCTTATTGCTTGCTATAAGTAGGCTTTTTGTAAACTTGCGTCATATCAGTGGCTGAAGACATGCCAACATAGTCCATCCCTTTTCTGGTTTGTAGTCGCCGGAATGTCAAGCGTTACCAATGCAAGCATGGCGTGTGGATGGGATGCCGAAGTTAGGTTTAGCAAAATAGGTCGTGTGGTTAGCGTACGTAGTCTTGATACTAGTAGCGCAGGCAGGGGGGCACAAGGGGCATGTGTCCCCCCCCCCCTTAGGTTCCGAGGGACCCGGGGGGGGGGGGGGTCCTCGGAACCTGCGATTAAGGGCCCGAATAGCCAGCCGGAGGGTCTCATTCAGGGGCCTGGCCCGCAGGGCCAGGCACTCCAATGCCAGCCAGAGGGCCCTGCGCGCTGATCAGGGGCCCACTTAGTTGATAAGGGCCTATATTTCCGTCAGACTCCACCAGTAACGCACAGTCGGCTCCGTGGCAGCATGGACCTGAGGGCCCATTTCCCAAGCAGGGGCAAAGCCGTAGGCAGCGATCTACATTGATTGGGCCCTACAGCGTCTAGCAGGGGCGCTCTGTTGCCAAGGGGTCCCAAGTCACCCAGAGACGGTTTTTGAGGAAGCCACGAACAGCTTACTTGGCCCACAGGTTCCAACGATCAGGGGCCCGATTGGATGTTTCCAGGGGCGTAAAGGGCTGGTCGGATCCTTATTCAGGGGCCCGCGACGTGCGAACACGCGCGAACACGCGACGTGCGACCCCTGAAATAACGGTCAGAGGACCCTTGCGCAGATCAGGGACCCCTGAGTCGATATAGGCCTATATGTCGGCCGGGCAATACCAGTTACCGCACAGTCGGCTCCTTGTCAGTATGGGCCGGAGGGTCCACCTATCAATCAGCTACAAAGCCGGGGCCAATGACTTGCACTGGTCGGGATCTCCCGTGTCTGTTAGGGACTCACGGTTTGTCTAACAGAGGGTCCTGTGCTCTCAAGGGACCCCCGCGCCGACCAAGGGCAGTGTTTGCTGAGACCCGAAGAGGGGCTGGAGTGGCGCACTGGACCCGACGATCAAAGGCCCGGTTGGAAGGCGTAACGACCCCGAGGGACTGGCTGTAGGTCTCAAAGAATCGCGGCTTGTAGGGTAGTGACCTGAAACATCAGCCAGTGGCCCTATTGCAACGTTTGAGGAACTCCTGAGATAATACGGATGCATAAGTCGGTCAGAGACCACGAACACTGAGAAGTCTGCTCCACGTCCGTCTGAGACCCGGGGACCCATTACCCAAGCAGAAACGAGGCCGGGCCAGCGATTTGAAATGTCCGGGTTCCCTGACACAATGTGGGGCTCCTGTGTCGGTTAGGTGCCACAGTGCCGAACAGGGGTCTTGTGGCGGCAATTGTCCCGGGTCGGGGCGGTGTTTGGGGGGCCCAAAGAGAGGCCGAAGGGTCTCTCGAGACCAAAGATAAAGGGCCCAACGGGGTGACTGAGGGGTCCGAAGGGCCGGCTCTAGGTCACATGAGGACCCCCCTCCCACAGGGCCGTAATCTCAAATGTCAGATGATCTCTTGCACCGATAAGAACCCCTGAGACAGGGTGTTCTTCTCTTTCGACGAGAGATTACAAATAACGAACAGTCGCTTCCAGTTACTGGTCTGAGCTCTGGGGGCCCGTTTCTCAAGCAGGGACAAGGCCAGGCCCCCGATTTGCACTGGTCGGGTTCCTGTATCGTGCAGGGGCCTGCAGTGCCTAGCAGGGCATGCCGTGTCAACGAGAGGCCTCGAATCGGTCAGGGGAAGATTTTCTCAACAGGAACGGGCACGGGAGCCTGAATTAGAGAGGATCTCTTACGTTGGTCGGGGCCCTCTGACAGTCAAAGGGAACATAAGAACTTATGATGAGTGCTCACATTGAGGTACTAGAAGAGTCCTTTGCCAGTCAGGGCTCTACTACCGAACGGTGGACGCTCCAACCCTGTTCCAGTATGGGCCATTTAAGCCCCACTGGAGTGTATGTGTTAAACATTTGGCTACCTGCGGCGAGCAGGAATGTTGTTGCGTTAATGACGGCTCATGCGTCGATCCGGGGCCAACTGCACGGGTCTGAAGGCCTCTCGCGTCAGGGAGCGGACCAATAGGATATGATGTATCCCCTAATGGCCTCCGGATCGGCCAGGGGGATGCCGCCCCGTGTCACTAGAGTGACGGCCAGAAAACACACCGCGGTGGGACAGAATGGCGCTGCACCCCTTGACCGGGAACATTAATGTTGCCCCGCAGTGTTTTTACTTCAGAGGTTCCTTTGCCAGGATAAAGGGTCTCATTCGTGTTGGATGGAGTGGTACCAAATGAGTTCAAAACACAAGGCCATCTCATATTTCCCTGAGAACGTTCATTATTTTGCAGAATCGGCTAGTTAAACAAATGTCATCAAAAGGTTTGAGCGTGCGCGCCGGGGTGCCGGTAGTTGTAGTGGTTAACGCCGATGCGTTAACCACTCCACGTCTGGGAAACAGATACGGGGTTCGATTTCCTACGGTACCCGCCCTTCCCGCCAGGGTGAGAGGCTAGTGGCGTCACATAGCCCCAGCAACTGAGTGCGTCATCAACCCGTAATGACACGCCGGTAGTCTCGGGTAACAAGAATAGCGATGGTTTGGGTCGCACTTTTCGCAAAACCGAATGGCGTTGCCCACTGCGAGTAACCCCCGAGGGCGGGCGCCGAGCGCGCAACGATGTCCATCGTAAAACAATGTTTTTCAATGTCTTTCAAAATTGATCCGTGCAGTTCAGCAATTACACTGGGCCTTGTTGCTTACAACTTTGAGGTTGTCCTCTGGACAGGATAAACAGTTACAGCAACACGGACATTAGAGATTTCACCCTACTCTTCCACTTCCACGACCACATTCCAGCACCACTTCGCGGCGCTGTAAATCTTAAATACCTACAGGTGAAATATACGCCCGTGATATCTCTAAATACACGATTTGGCGCCCAAAAGTGTTCAAGATAGTTTCTTCAGATGTGGCACCATTTTCGTCCACCTGTTAACCACAACTTAGTATTAGGGACGGGGCCGACCGTCGCGCGGCCTTGGGAGACTGCAACGCCTGGCGTCGTGTTTTTTGCCACGATATGCGAGCGCACTTGCTCAAAAGTACGTTACGGAACTGTACCATTAGTCGATTCCGACCCGAATGTTGGACACATCCAGACAAAGATGCCTTGTCAATGTTAATACACCATTTTTGACCCATTTTGATCTTCAATCTACATATACGGAACACCTGCTAGGCTCTGTACAGCCCAGACATAAATTCTGGCAAAAATTTCTTAGTTCTGTCCGTTTAAGAGAGTCTACTGGATCATGAAGTGAAGAATGCTGACGATGAATTTCATGCAGTCAGTTAACGCATGATTTTGTCAGTATATTTATTGTAAACTTGGGCAGACTTGATTTTGCAGTAACGTCTCGCCTTTATTCCAGTTAAAGAGGGTAGAAATGTGCATTGCATATATATATATATATATATATATATATATATATATAATATATATAATATAGATATATAGCTATAGATATAGATATAGATATAGATATAGATATATATATATATATATATATATATATATATATATATATATATATATATATATATATATATATCTATATCTATATCTATATCTATATCTATATCTATATCTATATCTATTCTATATCTATATCTATATATGTATATATATATATATATATATATATATAACAAAAAAAATGTCCTTAATAAGAAATGGAACCATATCCGGCGATGTTTTTTGGGGGGCGAGGACCCTTTTACTGTCAGGGTCCCCTTTATGAACCCTGTGTCGGCCCATGGCAAAGCTCTGGCTGCGCCCCTGCTTGGCACGGTTGGAGGTGGGATATGAACGTGTTCTTGTGACGTGTATGGAAGCTGCATCACCTCCTTAAGTCATATGCTGGTGTGCTCGTTCGCTTTTGTGGAAAGGTATGGGGAAAACGATTATATTACGACCAGTACTTCGGGTGCACCGATTTTGGGCAGGTAAGCCAAAAGTTCATATATCAAAGGGAACTGTGAGGGCTAGTCCTTGAGTGGCTTTAGCGCCATCTTCGCCCGGCCGACCGGTCCCAGTTTCGTGTCGTAACGCCGTGTTTGCGACGGCAGCGCTGCACTGCCAGCTGCTGGAGACGGTGATGTCGCGTCGGCGCATGGTGATTCGCGACCTGTTCTGCATCATCGCGCACGGCACGGTCAGCGCCCGGCTGCCGGCCGCCCACCTGCTCTTCCACTACTGGCCGGCGCTCAATCCGTCGTCTGCCGACCGGCGCGGCCACCTGCTCAAGTTCACAGGTCAGTCAGTGGGTCACCGGCCCGCTCAGGGGTCAGAGTCACGGTTACTCGCCTGCTCAGGGGTCAGAGTCACGGATCACCCGCTCGCTCAGTGGTCAGCGTCGCGGTTCACCTACCCACTCAGGGATCAAGGTCACGAGTCACCCGTCTGCTCAGGGGCCAGGGTCACGGGTCGTCGGCCCGTTAAAGGGTCAGAGTTACGATCATCCACCTGTCAGGTCAAGGCCAAGGCTGTGCCAAGGCTCCCATCGCTGGATAAAATGCCCGATTGTTACGTTGAATGGCCCGAAGACATAACTCAGCACGGATGCGTATTAAAACATCCAGAGCTCATAACGTCCACTGGTCAAACGTCCAGAATCGCAGCATCCAGCGTTCACAACATTCAGAAACCATCCAATGTCCCTGGACAGAGGAGAATCAGAAAGTCCAGGCGCGCAGCGTCCAGAACCGCAGCATCCAGAGTTCAAAACGTCCAGCGTTCATAAAGTCCAGCGTGCGTGAGATCCACGGTCGAGATACTCTACCGCTTCTCTTCCTTGCAACCCTTGCTTAATGGTTCGGATATTGCCCGATAGAGACTACCGTAGCCGATTTCGCCCGCCTCATCCGACGAGTGACGTCATGCGGCACAGTGCTGCCAGTTAAACCAACGTGCATGGATATGGACAACGTTTTGTTTGAGCATGTAAGCCTTGCCGTGTCAGCACACGCTTGGCAGCAAGCGCATGAACTAATTCAAAACTTGGATCCCTGGCTCGTGACATCGGAAACAGCTGGTTACTCGGCAGTAGCTGCACGGTAACCGTGGGAAGCACTTGTCAGGGCGCCTGCTGTTTGGTATTGTGGGCTGTGGATAAAATACTCTGTGGTATTTTGTTCCGTTATTCACTGCATTTGTTGATGATGTTTCTAATTTTGTCAAGGAATTCATGACTGATGTGTATGATTGACTGATTTGATGACTGCTCTAGGTAGGCGCGCATGTAGATCTCCAGCTCCTGGCACGTTAACCTATATTTTTGTGCTTTTATTTGGCTGTTTCCCCTCCCTCCCTCCCCCCAGTTGCAAGTTTTCTCACGCTTCTGCAACCAGACTTATTACAAATTTTACATGCCTTTATTCTCAAAGGAGGGCGGGGGGGGGGGGCTGTCTCATCAGCTGAATCCGGATACCACCTCCCTGGTTCGACATGTTCAATGACCTAGTCTACAAACAATGCGTTTCTTCAGTTTGTTTCGTTGAAATCGGGGGCGTGGTTTCCCAAAATAAGTTGGTTGGCTGAGCTATGAAAAAAACGAAGAGTACCCTAATAGAATGCCCTGATAATGTGCCGTCAACTTGGTTTCTCCCCGAATTTGGCTGACTTTTTCACAATATGCAGGCTGTAGCCAAAGTTCCGGCGTGGGGTGAAACCTCTGCAACTGAACAGGGAACCGCGCTCCTGATTGCAAGCAATAGGAAATAAAAGAGCACACTTGACTGCGGATGTATTTAACTGCCTGCCAAACGTCATGCAAACACCACGCAAGTGCTGCGCTTAAATGCGCTGTTGATTCACCATCTGAACAGCGGAGCCGTGTGTATGTCACTGAGTTGGTTTGCGACACATAGCTGGATGAATTGGGAGAATCGTGGGCTTGTATTCACCATCCAGTTTATCAATCTTGACACGCTGTACTCTTCTTACGCCTCCGAACCTCCCTCGTATAGAATTTTGGGTCCAGCAATACCAGTCTGGAGTTTATCGAGACGGGTGCAGTTCACGCCGCAGAGGGGTGATGGTGCCATGCTGGTTAGTGGTAAGGGTGCTCATCTCTGCACTTTTCTATCCTGGGATGGATTCCTGGACACATCACTACCGCATCCCACGTACCTAATGCCTGATAAATGCGTAATATAGGCCTTCCGCCTCGAAATAGCCCTGGCAGCCGGTGAGACGTAAAGCCCCAATCGGTATTACACCCCGTCCCGACAAACAAACCGCCGCCCGCCAAACTCGCAAACAACGCTTCCGCTCAATCACTGTATATGTGTGGGATAAAAATGTGCATCGGTTGGACGCGGAGCTCGGATACACAAGCCAGCCCGAGGCTGCCCAGCTCGGCGGTCTGGCCGGCAGCCACGCCCGCGGCGGGCCGGCGGACGAGGCAGCCCGGCCGCCAAATAAAGAACGCAGCCACGCGCGCGCCGCCGCCCTCGGCCGAGAACGGAGCCCCGCCATCCGCG